CTTGTAGCCTTACAGTGCTGAATTATCATTTCAGTTTGTCCTGCATTTTTAAACCTTGCCAGTTTAATCTTTCAATCAATTTTAAGCCATTTAAAGGCAATTAAATGTGAACGGGACTCAATTCATTACTTGCTTAAGCAAGGCTTAAGCCTGGTTCACACGGCAGGATAATTAGGCCGATTTTAGCCCCGATTCACCCCTTCCAACAATCTTAAGGATGCTCCTATTATCGTAAAAATAGATCAGATATTCCTGCCGTGTGTGGTGTGTGGCTCTCGTCTGCTCGGAAGGACGTCTGGACCGCTCCGATCTCAAATCGGGGATTTCCAACATGTTGGATTTTTTTTTGGCCCGATTTCTCCTCGTGTGTGGTGTCCCCCGGGTAGAGATCTCTACAAGGTAGAGATTCTGCATTCTAAACATCGATGAATTAACTATGGGTCTCAGCCCTTAATTGTAACATACCATTTCAATGTCACTGGGCACAGTACTAGAGGCAGACATTCCTGATGAGGGGATTGAGGGAATCAAAGACCGGACACACTGCACACACTCCTTCATTAATTTTATCATATCTGGTGGCTCTATGTGACAGTAAAGGGGAAAAGGGTAAGTTAGTGTTGTTTGACAATAAGAACCTTTGTTTTGTGCATCTGTGGCACTTGATAGATGGATGAAATGTAAAAGCTGGCCAGCATTACCTAAATATTGGTACTAATGTTCAGTGCATGTCAATCACAGGTTTGCATTGGAGTGATTGCAAACCTGAATAGGTATTCACCTACCACGAAGGGATGTCATGATTTCTTCATCCATTTGAGATAGCATTTTTGGCCCAGTGTTAGAGTCTTTTATCTGCAAATAGCCAATAAAATAAAAGCACATTTAAACTTTTTATTAAAGTCACATATCACATTAACATGTTAGTTACAATAAAAAAATACAGGAAATAAACAGAAAAATAATTAATGATGCTCAAATTTATTAAATTACACTGTAAAACAGCTGTAGGCCTTAATGCTAAGGACTTTTGCTACTGCCCTGCTTGGGCCAATGCTTCAAATTCTTACTTGGCCTGCCAAAAATTCACTGGTCCCACCAAAAACAATTATTTTCAAGTATTTCTCATCCATTAGTGTTAGAGCAGTCAAATCAACAATACTGCTAAATGTAAATTGTCCCTGACTACCTAAACTAAGGGAGCACAAACACCATCAGGTGACAGAAGATGTATAAAAAACCTTTGGAGAAAGTCAGCTTGCCTTTCTCTGGGTTGAGGTTAGACCAAAGTCATTGGCCTGAAAAAAAACAACACACAATTATTATAAGAGATGTGTGAAAATCAAGAGAGAAACAATTTGTTTACAGCACACCTTGCTTAGTACATAGAAGAAAAAAAAAAATATGACTCACCATTTCAGGACTCCCTATGTTTGTGGCTTCATCAGAACTGGTGCGATGATCTGGACGGAGTGGGCTCGCTATGTTTGTAGCATCATCAGAACTGGTGCGATGATCTGGACGGAGTGGGCTCGCTTTGTTTGTGGCCTCATCAGAACTGGTGCGATGATCTGGACGGAGTGGGCTCGCTATGTTTGTAGCATCATCAGAACTGGTGTGATGATCTGGACGGAGTGGGCTCGCTATGTTTGTAGCATCATCAGAACTGGTGCGATGATCTGGACGGAGTGGGCTCGCTATGTTTGTGGCCTCATCAGAACTGGTGCGATGATCTGGACGGAGTGGGCTCGCTTTGTTTGTGGCCTCATCAGAACTGGTGCGATGATCTGGACGGAGTGGGCTCGCTTTGTTTGTGGCCTCATCAGAACTGGTGCGATGATCTGGACGGAGTGGGCTCGCTATGTTTGTGGCCTCATCAGAACTGGTGCGATGATCTGGACGGAGTGGGCTCGCTTTGTTTGTGGCCTCATCAGAACTGGTGCGATGATCTGGACGGAGTGGGCTTGCTATGTTTGTAGCATCATCAGAACTGGTGCGATGATCTGGACGGAGTGGGCTCGCTATGTTTGTGGCCTCATCAGAACTGGTGCGATGATCTGGACGGAGTGGGCTCGCTATGTTTGTGGCCTCATCAGAACTGGTGCGATGATCTGGACGGAGTGGGCTCGCTATGTTTGTGGCATCATCAGAACTGGTGCGATGATCTGGACGGAGTGGGCTCGCTATGTTTGTGGCCTCATCAGAACTGGTGCGATGATCTGGACGGAGTGGGCTCGCTATGTTTGTGGCCTCATCAGAACTGGTATGATGATCTGGACGGAGTGGGCTCGCTATGTTTGTGGCCTCATCAGAACTGGTATGATGATCTGGACGGAGTGGGCTCGCTATGTTTGTGGCATCATCAGAACTGGTGCGATGATCTGGACGGAGTGGGCTCGCTATGTTTGTGGCATCATCAGAACTGGTGCGATGATCTGGACGGAGTGGGCTCGCTATGTTTGTAGCATCATCAGAACTGGTGTGATGATCTGGACGGAGTGGGCTCGCTATGTTTGTGGCCTCATCAGAACTGGTATGATGATCTGGACGGAGTGGGCTCGCTATGTTTGTGGCCTCATCAGAACTGGTGCGATGATCTGGACGGAGTGGGCTCGCTATGTTTGTGGCCTCATCAGAACTGGTGCGATGATCTGGACGGAGTGGGCTCGCTATGTTTGTGGCATCATCAGAACTGGTGCGATGATCTGGACGGAGTGGGCTCGCTATGTTTGTGGCATCATCAGAACTGGTGCGATGATCTGGACGGAGTGGGCTCGCTATGTTTGTGGCATCATCAGAACTGGTGCGATGATCTGGACGGAGTGGGCTCGCTTTGTTTGTGGCCTCATCAGAACTGGTGCGATGATCTGGACGGAGTGGGCTCGCTATGTTTGTGGCCTCATCAGAACTGGTGCGATGATCTGGACGGAGTGGGCTCGCTATGTTTGTGGCATCATCAGAACTGGTGCGATGATCTGGACGGAGTGGGCTCGCTATGTTTGTAGCATCATCAGAACTGGTGCGATGATCTGGACGGAGTGGGCTCGCTTTGTTTGTGGCCTCATCAGAACTGGTGCGATGATCTGGACGGAGTGGGCTCGCTTTGTTTGTGGCCTCATCAGAACTGGTGCGATGATCTGGACGGAGTGGGCTCGCTATGTTTGTGGCCTCATCAGAACTGGTGCGATGATCTGGACGGAGTGGGCTCGCTTTGTTTGTGGCCTCATCAGAACTGGTGCGATGATCTGGACGGAGTGGGCTCGCTATGTTTGTGGCCTCATCAGAACTGGTGCGATGATCTGGACGGAGTGGGCTCGCTTTGTTTGTGGCCTCATCAGAACTGGTGCGATGATCTGGACGGAGTGGGCTCGCTTTGTTTGTGGCCTCATCAGAACTGGTGCGATGATCTGGACGGAGTGGGCTCGCTATGTTTGTGGCCTCATCAGAACTGGTGCGATGATCTGGACGGAGTGGGCTCGCTATGTTTGTGGCCTCATCAGAACTGGTGCGATGATCTGGACGGAGTGGGCTCGCTTTGTTTGTGGCCTCATCAGAACTGGTGCGATGATCTGGACGGAGTGGGCTCGCTATGTTTGTGGCCTCATCAGAACTGGTGCGATGATCTGGACGGAGTGGGCTCGCTTTGTTTGTGGCCTCATCAGAACTGGTGCGATGATCTGGACGGAGTGGGCTTGCTATGTTTGTAGCATCATCAGAACTGGTGCGATGATCTGGACGGAGTGGGCTCGCTATGTTTGTGGCCTCATCAGAACTGGTGCGATGATCTGGACGGAGTGGGCTCGCTATGTTTGTGGCCTCATCAGAACTGGTGCGATGATCTGGACGGAGTGGGCTCGCTTTGTTTGTGGCCTCATCAGAACTGGTGCGATGATCTGGACGGAGTGGGCTCGCTTTGTTTGTGGCCTCATCAGAACTGGTGCGATGATCTGGACGGAGTGGGCTCGCTTTGTTTGTGGCCTCATCAGAACTGGTGCGATGATCTGGACGGAGTGGGCTCGCTATGTTTGTGGCCTCATCAGAACTGGTGCGATGATCTGGACGGAGTGGGCTCGCTATGTTTGTAGCATCATCAGAACTGGTGCGATGATCTGGACGGAGTGGGCTCGCTTTGTTTGTGGCCTCATCAGAACTGGTGCGATGATCTGGACGGAGTGGGCTCGCTATGTTTGTGGCCTCATCAGAACTGGTGCGATGATCTGGACGGAGTGGGCTCGCTATGTTTGTGGCCTCATCAGAACTGGTGCGATGATCTGGACGGAGTGGGCTCGCTTTGTTTGTGGCCTCATCAGAACTGGTGCGATGATCTGGACGGAGTGGGCTCGCTATGTTTGTGGCCTCATCAGAACTGGTGCGATGATCTGGACGGAGTGGGCTCGCTTTGTTTGTGGCCTCATCAGAACTGGTGCGATGATCTGGACGGAGTGGGCTTGCTATGTTTGTAGCATCATCAGAACTGGTGCGATGATCTGGACGGAGTGGGCTCGCTATGTTTGTGGCCTCATCAGAACTGGTGCGATGATCTGGACGGAGTGGGCTCGCTATGTTTGTGGCCTCATCAGAACTGGTGCGATGATCTGGACGGAGTGGGCTCGCTATGTTTGTGGCATCATCAGAACTGGTGCGATGATCTGGACGGAGTGGGCTCGCTATGTTTGTGGCCTCATCAGAACTGGTGTGATGATCGGAAGTGAATGCCAGGGGTCTGGCAGCTTTCTTAGTGTTTACTAGCTTTACTTGGACAAAAATGTTAATAAGAAAAAACAAACAAAAAAACATTAAAAATAAAATAAAAAATAAGATGCTAGGTTCACAAGTGGTGGTTGGGGAGAGACTCTTGATATGATTGTAAAGCACTTTGGGTGTAAATTAGTACATATTTAACTGGCATGCTATGTAAATGCTTTATTTATTCTGATTTTTTTTTTTTTTAGTGTGGTCCTGTTTATAAAACATTCAAACTATAAAAATGTAGCCAAAAACTCAATAAGACAGTATGCATACATTATGAAGACATTGTGGAACTTCATCCTCAGAGCTGGTGTTTTGATCTTGTGTGTCTACGGCCCTGCTCTGAGAAAGTGAATTCTTCAGTTTTTGTAACATCTTGTCTCTGGCTGCCTCTTTGATCTTGGTTTGCTTTTGCTGAAAAAAATGTAATAAATAAAAAAATGGTTAAAATCTTCATTATGTCACATTCATGCTGATATAATGAAATTTGATGCAGATTGTTTTTCTGATTAGAAAATATTTTGGCAGCAGTCACAATGAAAGGCCAAAGATTTATTTGATCATTTAATGTAATATCTGAGATTACTGCTTTACTGGAGATGGCAGAATGACACACTTTATTTATAAGCTTTATGTGATTAGAACAGTGTGAATAAAAATGCTGCATGTCTTTTATGAAACTCATAACTTCATTCTTTGGCTTTTTATGAAATTGTCTTCCAATGAAAAAAAATACTGTATTTTTTTTTAAACTTGTATAAGTCTTACTTGTGGACTTCCTGCATGAGAGAGGTTTCTATAGCTTTGACTATGAATGAAACATATAGTGTTTATTGCTCCATAATGCGTACAATACCCAAATTGGAGTACAAATAGAGAAAAACGAAGTTATCCTCAAGACAGGATTTTAAAAATGAGCATGATAATTCATCTGTGTTGTTGTTTTTTTTTCAAAATGAGCATAGTTGTGAACTACCTGAGGTACAGACTGTAATTATGGACTCATATTTAATATTACATGCATGGAATCAATTTTACATTTTGCATATCTTCTGGAATATTAAGAAGTTACTATCACCATGACATAAAACTATCACCATGACATAAAACTGTTAATATTACATAAAGACTTATCCATATCATGATCCATATCCACTCACCAGCCTGCCTTTTTTGGCCTCGTTTAGCTTGCTGGTGTCCAACATTTTCTTTTTGACACAAACGCCCCTGCTTTCATCCTGGTTCCATATGTCCTTTCCCAAAAGTAGTAAGTTTTTCTTCATGACGAGGTCTTGGAACGAATCTGATATAACAAGCGCAAAAACACTTTAGCCTAACGTAACTTGCACCTGTTATAAAAAAAAAGCGACACAATAGCGCAATAAAACATTTGAAAGTATAACTTAAGAAATAAAATTAAAAAAATAACAGACCTCCAAACAGCAAGACTTTTGCGGGCACTGTCTTCTCTGGTTCTTTACGTGAAGGCCACTTTATTTCCAGCCAATTCTCGTCTCCATCAAGGTCTGGTTTTTACGTAACTTGACTATGCTGGTCTATATCTACGAGGATCAATGTGCTCTCCACTTTCAATGATTTATCATATAAGTAATAAATGGCAAACTGGAACGGCATCGTGTATTAGTAACGTCTCCTTCTGCAGCAAAACGTCGCTTAGCGCGGGAGCATCAATCGAAGCGAGTACCATCTGCTGCTCTGATTGGCTAAAAGCAACACTAAGACACTTGATTGGTCAAATACCGTGGCGCTCAAAATCTATTTTTCTTGTTCTATAAATCTATAAAATCTTGTTTTCTCAAAATCTATTTTTTTGAATCCAGTAGAGAATACGCTGACATCATCATGGCATCAAAACGACATTATAAGATAATTTTGAATTCCGATGGGACTCAACCAGATACACCAAGATCCTCAAAATACAGAAAACTTCAACAGAAAAAGGTAAACTAAAAACTTTTTTCTTTTGCAGTATTATCACTCTTAATTAGATTTTTAAAATTGATTTAGTTTTTCCCCCCATGTCATTAACGTTACATTGTTTATTGCATAAAAAACACTTTACATGTATGTATATATATATATATATATATATATACACTCACCGACCACTTTATTAGGTACACCTGTCCAACTGCTCGTTAACACTTAATTTCTAAGCAGCCAATCACATGGCGGCAACTCAGTGCATTTAGGCATGTAGACATGGTCAAGACAATCTCCTGCAGTTCAAACCGAGCATCAGTATGGGGAAGAAAGGTGATTTGAGTGACTTTGAACGTGGCATGATTGTTGGTGCCAGAAGGGCTGGTCTGAGTATTTCAGAAACTGCTAATCTACTGGGATTTCCAAGCACAACCATCTCTAGGGTTTACAGAGAATGGTCCGAAAAAGAAAAAACATCCAGTGAGCGGCAGTTCTGTGGGCGGAAATGCCTTGTTGATGCCAGAGGTCAAAGGAGAATGGCCAGACTGGTTCGAGCTGATAGAAGGGCAACAGTGACTGAAATAACCACTCGTTACAACCGAGGTATGCAGCAAAGCATTTGTGAAGCCACAACACGCACAACCTTGAGGCGGATGGGCTACAACAGCAGAAGACTCCACCGGGTACCACTCATCTCCACTACAAATAGGAAAAAGAGGCTACAATTTGCAAGAGCTCACCAAAATTGAACAGTTGAAGACTGGAAAAATGTTGCCTGGTCTGATTAGTCTCGATTTCTGTTGAGACATTCAGATGTTAGAGTCAGAATTTGGCGTAAACAGAATGAGAACATGGAACCATCATGCCTTGTTACCACTGTGCAGGCTGGTGGTGGTGGTGTAATGGTGTGGGGGATGTTTTCCTGGCACACTTTAGGCCCCTTAGTGCCAATTGGGCATCGTTTAAATGCCACGGCCTACCTGAGCATTGTTTCTGACCATGTCCATCCCTTTATGGCCACCATGTACCCATCCTCTGATGGCTACTTCCACCATGTCACAAAGCTCTAATCATTTCAAATTGGTTTCTTGAACATGACAATGAGTTCACTGTACTAAAATGGCCTCCACAGTCACCAGATCTCAACCCAATAGAGCATCTTTGGGATGTGGTGGAACGGGAGATTCGCATCATGGATGTGCAGCCGACAAATCTGCGGCAACTGTGTGATGCCATCATGTCAATATGGACCAAACTCCCTGAGGAATGCTTCCAGCACCTTGTTGAATCTATGCCACGAAGAATTGAGGCAGTTCTGAAGGCAAAAGGGGGTCCAACCCGTTACTAGCATGGGGTACCTAATAAAGTGGCCGGTGAGTGTATATATATATATATTAATGATATGTTATTATGCTTACTGATCTGATTTTGTTTTATAATATTTTTTTATTATTAATTAATTATTAATTAATTATTATACATGTTGTGAAAGATATAATGGAATAAACTGATATACTATTATAATTTATGCAATATGTGGGCAAAATGTCTATAAATGGGCAGACCCATTCAATACAATGTATCTATATAAACTGTATCTAATCTGCATATTGATGTGTTCTTGGGGCAACAGTAATGAAAAATGAAGTTTAATAATGGGAGTAATTGTTTCCGATATTCAGTGTGGGGAAGAATATCAAAAGATCACGCAGAGTGGACAAATGGGGCCTGATGACATATCAATCTTGTGGAATTGTGATGTAATTCCTGTTTTTAAAAGTAATAATGAACAGATATGGCCAATCCAGTGTCAAATTATTGAGCTGTCACCAAGTGATCGTGAAAGGAACATATGCGTACCATGCTTATGGGTTGGTAACAGCAAGCCAAATATGAAGACATTTTTAACTGCTTTTGTGTCACAGCTCAAGGAACTACAACAGATTGGAATCACATGGAGGGACTCTGAAAACGTAGAGCATACAAGCAAGGTTCCTTCACTCCTCTGCTCTTCTGATTCAATTGCCCGGCCCCTTCTGAGAAACACAAAGCAGTTCAATGGAAAATATGGGTGTGACTTTTGCCTCCACTATACGGTGGTGGCCCATATATTTGGGAAACACCTGAACCACCTTTAAGGACAGAGACAGATCATTTCCGGCATGCTATGCTGGCAACACCTGCTCAACCAGTAATGGGTGTAAAAGGACCATCACCTTTGATGGAACTTGAAAGCTTTAACATGATCACAGGCTTCGTTCCAGAGTACCAGCACAGTGTCTGCCTTGGTGTAACTAAACAGATAGCATCTCTGTGGCTGGACAGTAAACACCATAAGGAAGATTGGGCTCAAAGACCAATGACATAGACCAGGGGCTCAAGGCCATTAACCCACCTTTGGAAGTCACAAGGGCCCCAAGATCATTGAAAGACCGAAAATTCTGGAAAGCATCTGAATGGAGGTCTTTTTTGTTGTTTTATGCTTTGCCTGTTTTGAGTGGTATTTTGAAAAAGAAATACTGGAATCATCTTTTTTTATTAGTTTTTTCAATGCACACTCTTCTTCATGATGCCATCAAAGCAAACCATGTGGATATGGTAGAACGAGCTCTTCGAAAGTTTGTGCGTAACTTTGAGAAAACTTTATGGTGCTAAAAATGTTTCTTTCAATGTGCATTTGTTAATGCACTTAGCAACAAGTGTGCGAAACTGGGGGCCGCTGTGGGCAACATCCACATTTCCATTCGAATCTTTTAATGGAACATTGCTGAAGTTTTTCAACGGAACAACGCATGTGCTAGATCAAATAGTTAAGAGATTCCTTGGGTGGAGGGCTCTCTCAGTAAAAGCAGGGACTGCAATGGCAAATGCTGCTGAAAACATAAGAACATTTTTTGACAAACTCCAAAATAGATCTGCCTTAAAGCTGCTGTAGGTAACTTTTGAAAAAATGTATTTGCTAAAACTGTCATTATGTCCTGACAGTAGAATATGAGACAGATAATCTGTGTAAAAATCAAGCTCCTCTGGCTCCTCCCAGTGGTCCTATTGCCATTTGCAAGAAATACACGGTCCCGGTCAGAAACAACCAATCAGAGCCAGGAGGAGTGTCTTAGCAGTGTCAATCACGCTCGTGTACGCGCTGATCACACCCCTCTCTTGCACAGCGCGAGCCGTCGTTCAAACTCAAGATTGCCGGCGAGCTGCCGCTGTGCTTATGACGGAGAAACAACCTAAACTGCCAATTCTCGAGTGACACCTGCTCATAAAACAAAGAGGTAAAAAGAAAAAGACTGATGACGATAAACAAGCGAAAAAGAAAGAATTACACAGAGCCCATTGACTCGGTGTCAAAACTCTAGCCGCATAACATGTAGATAAAATGTCACGCACTCTGCTAAGCAACAATTGAAACCTGCCAGTTCACTGGCTTGTCATGTTGCTGAAATAATGTACTAGCACACCTTATCTAGCATTATATATCGCTAGAATATTTACTTGCATACTGTAACGTTAGTTACCGTTATATTAACGTTATCTTACTAGCTATTTATAACTTATAGAAAGAGTGCAACGTTATAAAGTTACATGTAGGCTATTGGAAAATACATAATGATTTGAGGACCAAGTTTGTAGTCAAAGTATGGGCATAGTCAATGTAAAGCATATTATTGACGTTTAGTCCCTATTAGTGAATGTGCCATATAACTTTTTATCCGCTGTTATCGGTAGCCCTGTTTACTACCCTGCGCGTTCACGACAGGCTCCGCTGTGGAGGACGAGCTGTGGAGGGAGGGATGTAGCGCAGCAGAGAGCAAGGGGGTGGGACCTGTAAGTTGTGCTTGTTCAAATTTTCAGGCTAAGTCAACGTTTTCTCAAAACTCCCTACTGCAGCTTTAAGACAGAAGTCAAAGAAGTTTCAAGATAATGTCAGAGGTTTTGGTTGCCCGAAGAAAGGTACCACATCTGTCCTGCAGAGGATGGCTATTGAAGACTTTACTGGTGACACCGTTAATTCGGGTTTATTTTATGACCGTTTCACTTGTAGCGGAGTTCTTTATCATTCCTGCAAGAGCACAACTCTTAAAAAGAGAAACAATTCAGTTGTCCAGTTAAGTGACGGAACATTCTATGAAATTATGACCCTGGTGGATTTTACGTGTGAGGACAGGGCATCTACTGCATCCACCAACAACAGATTCTGTGTTTTAGTTAAAGAGCTTGCCAAGAGTGGAGGAAAGTTGTGTAGAGATGCTCAGCTAAATATATCCTCAACATTTATATATGAAGTGTCTCACACCAATAATGTGTTTGCTGTCCCTCCGCAATCACTCAAACGTAAATGTGTACTGATTAGGTCTAAGGACAAACTGTATGTCATTCCACTTCCAAACAATATTGAAAGAGACTAAAACTGACTCCTGGGGAACTACTTCTGCAGCTTTACTGATGTCAATGCCAATTGTTGTTTTTAAGCTTTATTTCTGCCTAAAATTAACAATGATATGTTAAGAGTTTTTGATCACTGATTATGATAGAATGTATTAAAGCAGTGAAATTATTTTTTTGGCCATGCAATATAGACAGTGTTTACTTGGCTGTACTTGTGACATCACAATCCTGTAGCTGAACTTCCTGTCCAGTAGAACACATTTTCTTGTGTTCATATGGTGTGCTGTTGGTATAAAATTGGATTGATGTTTACGTTGGACCTCTCTGTGACTTTGTATACATTTATTAAAAATACTTAAATCACAATTAGCCTTTTGTGCAGAGCATGTACACTTTATTAAAAAATGTTTTAAATAGCCTTTCAACACATTTATCATATGTTTTATTGCTTTCTGAAGTAGCAATTAAGTTAATTTCAAGCATGAAGAAATACACTTAAAAAATTCAATAATTTAACAAAGTATACTACAACTTCAGGTTATTTAATAATGTACTTTGAAAGTATACTTTCAATGCATTGTTACAATGATCATTTTCAGCACATAGTTAAAAAAAATATGCATAAAATATATTTCAAATAATTATACTTATAAAAAATAAACAGAGCTTTCACTTCAAGTATATTTTTGTCAAATATATTCTTTAGAAAATATACTAAATTACAATTATTTTAAAGTGTGTTAAAAATTGTATTTTGGAAATAGTAAAAAGTATGCTGCTAATGTACGTTTTGTATATTTAAAAATAGTATATTTTTATTAGTATATTTGCAATGTACTATTAAAACAGGGAATATATTACAAATACAATAAAGTATACTTTTTTTTGTACTTTGCAAAGTACTACAAAAATGTATTATAAGAGCAACATAAGAATGTTTTCTTTAAATGCACTAAAACTACACTAAAAGTATGCTTGTGTTTAGCATATTTCTTAAAAATATAATTAAGCATGTATTTATAATTAATGTACTTCTAGTGTACTTGTTAGAAATATATTAAAAGTATACATGTGTTGAGCATATTTATTAAAAGTGTAACAACGCATATATTTGTAACCAATATACTTATAGTGCACTTTTTAGAAATATGTTAAAAGTATGCTTGTTTTTCAATATACTTTTAGAAAATATACTAAAGTACAATTATTTTAAAGTGTGTTAAAAGTTGTATTGTGAAAATAGGTAAAAAGCATGATGCTAATATACTTTTAGTATATTTAAAGATAGTACATTTTTTGTTAGTATATTTGCAATGTACATTTAAAATAAATCTGGACAAAAAAATTAAATAAAAACATTGGATGCTATCATATCAATATAATATTATGATATGATATTATTAATTGAACATTGTATAAAAAAATGAATACATGGCTCTGGATTCTGCATTCTGGTAATGACCTCTTCTGCTATCATTACTCAATTGCAAATTTCAGTTACATGCTTTAAACATTGTTGGACCACAGTGCATCTTTTAGCTACGGTGACTGGTGTTTTTATTCATCCCATCACAAGGTCTTTTATATCCATTCACTGATTTGGTCTTATTTTTGTTTAAACTGAACTGAACTGGATGATGACATCACTGTTTTCTGAAGAACTGCTTTATAGATGAAATGAACTAATTTAATAGTTGATGATGTTTACAGTGGAACTGAATCAACACTGAATTGAGTTCAAAAACACTATTTTCTTCTAGAGCTGCAGTACAGCCTAAATTATGCATCATTGAATCATTTTCCTGTTATCACTGTAAAGATGCTTTGACACGTAGTCAACCTAACATGTAAAACTGACGCTCATTTATCGGCACCTACTGATGCAATACTATAAAGAAGTCAAAGCTTTCTTGGCATGATTATCGGGAATTTACAGTATATTTTCAAAATATTTATGGTACTTTAAGTATTAAAGGGTTAGTTCACCCCAAAATGAAAATTTCCAACAGCGCCAGGGAAGTGCGAAATCCTCAAACAAGTGGCTTGCTTTTGCTGCATGGATTGAAGATCAGTTGGAAAGTCAATGAACTGGCATACAGTAGAGGCCAAATAGGAAAATTGACATCTTCACCCTTTATCCAAATATTAAAAATGTGTTAAAGATTTTGTAAGCATATTGTGTAGTTATGCTTTTAGTCAATTGTTTTATTTGTAATAATGGAATGAAACATGCAAAACCAAGCTAAGAAATTATGCACACATGCAAAAACAAGAACCAGTGAAATTTTAATAACTGGTTATGTTGTTGATGAATCAGAAAAGGAAAAAAAAAATCATATTTCTTGCTTAGGTTTTATCATGTAATCATATTTTAAGAAATCATTGATGTGTTTCTCATTACAATAATTTTGATGTGTTTACCATTATTATCATTTGAAATGTATGTTTAATACTTTTCTTTTATAAATCTTTATGCCTAAAATGTAGCTGATTGACTGGGGAATTGTTGTACTTGTTGTTTGGATGAGGGCAAAAGTCTGTAAGTTTCAAATAGACAGACCACAAATGCACGAATGTCTTAGAATAAAGTGTTAAAGGGATGTTATCTTAGCTAAACATCTTGCAGTGTAAGGGCTAACACCTCAGAGTGTGATAACATGAAAACTAGATATGCTTGAGTCTTGTGTGTCTGCTTCAATGCAATAAACTATAACAAGAGGAGCTTAGCTCTGTTCTGATCTGCAACTGTATATGAGGGAGATCAGTGTCTGTGCAGGTCCGTCGATCCTTTGGACTCGGACCTTGCTCCTCCACAACCTGTCTTTTCAAAGAGAGATCCCTCAACCAACTTTATCTTTAGGCAAGAATATTATACTCGGAGTGTGTTCATTGTATTTTACTTAGAAATATTGGAAGTATTTAACTGTTCATTTATGTTTCTTTATTAAACTATTATGGATTAATTAATTTGACTCTTCATTTATTATTTGATTGTCTGCTGTTAAGAAATAAAATTTAATCATCTGACTGGATCTCCTCCTTGCATCAGTTGTTGTCAATGCATTCTTTTTCTTGGGAGCTTTTTTGTTTTTCTAAAACCTGTAGCTGTAGTTTACCCTTTTTGCCAAATAATTATGTCAGATAACCTTCACTAAGTTAGTTTTGGCCTCTACTGTGTTTGGTGGGGTTAGTGCCACATATTTCAGACCCTGCTTACTGTGGACTGAAGGGCCCAAGTCATCACTGGTGCATTTCTTTAGTTGCCAAAAAATGTCATTATTGCTTTCATTACTGCAGTCAGAGCATTGATTTGTAGAGTGGGAGAAGTTATTACTGACACAAGCTGATCAAACAGCATTTGCTGCTACTCAGACGGAAATATCTGGTCTCTGCACCCAAGCACGCGCGAAGTGATGCCGGCTATTAGTCGTCACTAATCTGACTTGTGGAAACTTGTGGAAGTATCCGACAATCTATTTGGGAAAATAATCTTAGAGTCAGTCAGAATAAAATCAAACGTTTACAATTTATTGACCAGGTAATGAAGCAATAATTCCAATCCAATTCATGAAATCATCAGTTAGTCATATCATAACAACAATTCAGAAATCGAGGAATTTAATTACCTGGAAATGAAACGATTACCTGGCAACTACATTACACACAGCGGTTGTGTGGGCAGTCGACCTACAGACTCCTCAAACTTTTCTGCTCCTTTTCCTTATAAACCCAGATATTCAATATTCTTTAGCAAATGGTCTTGTCTGTCATTATAATTCGTTTTTGGTTCCCTCTAGAGGGGTTCACAGCTCTAATGGGTTCTTGTTTTACATACAGGAGGTAGTTTGAATGGAGGATGTGGGGGAGGGAACACCTTTAAGGGACACATCACTTTTCTCATACTTTATAACTTCCTTTAGCCTTTCATTATAGTTGGGAGAATGAGACCATTTTACCAGGCGCACTGAGACACTTAAAATGAGACCAAACATGTATAGTTACTTTTTGTACACACATAATATTGCATGGGTTTTCAGTGAGTTCTGGGTGAGGAGGAGAAGAGGGATGTGATGAGTAAGGTGTGAACTGCACTGTGTGTGCTGTGTCTCGGGTGTTGCTGTTACATATGCGAGAGGGAGTTCAAATGTTAATTCTCTGGAGAGCCTTTTGCTCTCTCGAGGGGGACGCTCAGACGGACTGGCACCCGGCTTACACATTTCTAACAAGGTCAGTTACAAAAAAAATACCTTTATTATTTATACCTTTTTATGTAACTCCCTGTCATCATATTATAATACACATAACATAATATATACATAACTCCAAACACATCTTTATCACAGACTGCTGTGAACGTGATTTCACCAAGTACAACATATTCCTGGATCAACATCTTTATTGATCCTGGATCAACAATCCAATCAACCCATCAGATTTGAGGGAAAAGTTTACAGTTTATGTCAAATTTAAGCTCACAACCAGAGTTAGGTATTTCAGTGTTAAATGCACCTATCATTTCCCTCTAATTTTAAGGATAACTTAGGTTTAGGGAGCAGGGCTGTACACAGACATTTTGATGGGAAGGTGCTCAAGTGAAAAAAAAGGCCACTCCTCTAATACCTTTTTTTTTAAAAGTAAAGTTACATATCGTTGATCATCATTTTATTAATTAAACTATATATGGCTGTTATACCAATTGAACGAAATCAGTATAGTCCATCTCTTCATCATAATCAATTTACACTGCAATTACAATTGCTAGAATAATGTTATGAGATTAATGTTCTATATATAACATTTTGAACATGTAAATATGAAATGTTAGGAAAAATTTAATTATGCAGCAATGTATCTCTGTTATGCTAACATTGACAAACTAAAAAAAGTAAATGGGTGCCTTCCTGTTTCTCCTTGTCACAGTCTGGCAGAAATGATATGTGGTTTCAAGTGGTGGTTTCAGGAGTGTATGGTTACAGAGATAAAGGGTGTGGGTCAATTTACCCACTGGCTCATCTGACCCCACCCTATTACTAAACGTTATATGAGGAAGTTTCCCAATATAATGAGACAGTAAGTCATAGGCTAACTGTGAGAAAGTTTCTCGTCATTATGATTTTCAGAATCATATTTTTACTCAACTGGCACAAAACAAACCAAGCAAACGAGGGTCCGGTAGATTCAAATCGCGGTGCCCGATGAAGCAAACGCTTGTTTGTTTTTACAGCACGCTGCGTCATCGCTCTTGGCTAGTTTAAAGAGGCGCTTTGTTGAGAGGAGAGCCAGCCAGTTTCACAAAACCGGTTCTTTAACGCCTGGTGAATCTTGTGTTTTTGCTGCAGTCAACGCCTAGGCTACTTTCGGTTTCGTTTTTAACAATCTGTATGTGGATCTCTATCACATAGCTTCAGTGTCGGGGGAAAATCTCTGCGCGCGGCATTTACGTGCGTCTCTTTCTGATCTGCCACGGGTGGTTATAAATGTGCGAGTGTGTGTGTGTGTTTCAGCCATAAGAGATGAAGTCTGTGCTGTGCGCTTTAGTGACGGCCGTGATCGCGCTACAGTGTGCCGAATGCATAAAGAGGACATATTATATAGGCATAAGAGAGGAAGACTGGAATTACGCACCAGACGGAAACCTTGTCAACAGTGATCTAAACGAGTGAGTTTGTGTGTTGACATATCTATTTACCAGTAATAGTAAAACAGAACAGTAATTGTTCACATTTTACGTGACTTTTTTTTTTTACGTTTTAATACTGTAGGCTACAAAAAAATAAAATAATAATCAACGTAGCTATTATTTTTTATATGTGGATAAAAACGCTTGTATGTGCATGGTGATGTAGGCTATTGCTGATTCTGATAGCATGTATTAGGCTATTATTAAAATGGATCCTGAATTGTAAAGACCTAATAATAAAAAAAAAACAGCAATCGTAGATAGCTATTATCATTTTAAACTAAGCGACTTACTTTCGATTTTCTCTAAACCCCTTTCTGTAACAGAGACGCATCAGTTTTTCTGACAAATGGCCCTAGCCAAATAGGAAGAGTTTACAAAAAGGCTGTGTACAGACAGTACACCGATGACTCTTATTCCAAAGAAATACCTAAACCTGCGTGGCTTGGCTTCCTTGGACCTATTTTACGGGCTGAGGTCGATGATGTCGTGGAGGTGCATATGAAGAACTTCGCAAGCAGAGCTTATTCTCTTCACCCACATGGAGTCTTCTATAAGAAGGATTCAGAAGGTCGGGAAATTATCTCTCTTTATCAGTTCCCTTATTTATTCTTTATTCATCCATTTCCTTCTGCTTATCTGGCTGTCTGTCTTTGTTTATCTATGAGTCAGGACAGCGATTTAGAGTCTCTTGACACACATCCTATAAATCAATAACAGAGCAATAAACAAAAAGTATGCAGCAAAGTGTCAAAATGCAAGTTTTTACTGAGCAGTTCAAAGGGCAACACACAGAAATGACTTGACAACTTGAATCTTTAAAATAACTACCCGAAGCAACCACTTTTATAGCTGAAATAATACACTGTTAAAATATGTGCTAAGATATCGAATATAATATAAAACAAAACAATCTACAACATGTAGATCTAAACTTTTAAATAGTTTTTAATGATTTACCCAGTTAATTAACCCTTGTGTGGTGTTCAAAACCCGAATAACACCTTTGATGTTCCCGGTCAAAAATGACTGGCCCATAAAAAATAGCTTATAAATCACTTGTTATGCTATATTATCACCCAATATTGGATTCAATCTTTTTGTCAACTTGTTTTCTTTCAATTAGGACTGGTTTTATATTTCCATTTGCATCTGTTTAATCGTAGGCCTCGTTTATTAGAGAGTATCTAATTTTTTGAGTAAAAAAAGGATTTTTTTTGAATAATTTTGGAAATATTAAATAAAATATGACGAAAAGTGTTGATCACACTAGTCTACTTTTTTCACCATCAAGTTTGTTTTGAACAACTTTTATTTTTTACAAAATGACCAGGGCCTGGACGAGAAGTTGTGTTACATGCTCAGTTAGAAAAGGCCTGATCTTCCTGATGTTGGGCAGTGATCGAGCTGTCTTTGTAATGTGGTCTGTGAAGGTCAGCTGATCATCAAATGTTACTCCAAGATTTCTGACCGACCTTGATGGTGTGATTGATGATGAATCTAGCTGGATGACGAAGTCGACACACAGACATGTATGCGCAAACTGGATTTAGTCCGCAGTGACCCTGTTTCAAAATAATCCTTCTTTCATGTTCTTTGTTTCATCACAGTTTTCAGACAAAATATTATGACATTTTGTTTTGGGACTAAAATGTACAAATATAGATGTTATAGCACAGACACATATAAATGCTTTACAGTGTCTTGCACAATGGCGAAGAAGCTCTCTGTGATGGTGTTGCTCATCAGATCATTGATCCAGACACTAGTGAGGAGGAGGTGATGCAGGATGAATCTGGCAGTGAAGGAGCATTAGAAGATGTATCAGAAGAAGAAGCCACCAGATGCTAGAGACCTTGAAGCAGCTGATGAGCAGCAGTCTTCTGATGATGAGGGGCCAGCTGATGTTTTTACATTCTGGTCGAAAGATGGTCTGTGTCCTGGGGTCTCATTTATAAAACTGTGCGTAGAATCCTTACTAAAAGTGTACGTGCGTCCGAAAGCCAAAAATGTCGTACGCAAACAAATATTCAGACTTATAAAACCGTGCGTACGCCAGAACCTGCGCAGAATTCACTTTATAAATCCCAGTCAGCGGAAGATTGTGCGCACATGCGTCTCCACCCCGAAATAACCATATATGGAGCTTACAACACCTAGTTTTAATATGCATATCCTCATCTGCATATCATTTGCATATGATTATTCATCCACGTGATACCATGTTTAACGGTACAAGACATTTGGACAATATGAAATACGGATGTGCCGTCACATTAGTTACATTAATAAAAAATAATTTAGTAGCCTATATCCTTGCCTTGTTTTTGAATAAATAAATCAAATAGTGTAAAATACATTTCAGAGAAAGTTTTTCTCAATCTTTTCCACTGGCCAAAGAGTATTTTTAATTGATTTATATTTTTAATGGAAACAGATAGACCTTGTAGTGCATTATTTGCATGAAACTATTTTCTCAGACAATCTGCTATTATCATGATAAGCAATTATCTCTGTAGTTAAAACATTAAAACACAGCATGACAGAGGGGAAGTGTTTGAAAGCATTGCATCCACAACACATATTTCTATTTATTGAATATACAAAAATGTTGTAACTTCTCAGTAATGATTTCATGTAATTTAAGTGTCTAACTCCATTAATCAGAATGGCATATTTAATCTAAATGTTTATATCAGAAGTAAAACATAGTTTTATTTATTTAAACTGTTATTGTGAACATATTTCACAGAACACTGTATTTATGATTATAATGAAGATTTACGGTTTTAGATAGGCTGCGTCAGTTTCACTAAAGAAAGGGATGGATATTTAAAAAGGATGGATGTTTGCTTCATGTGAGGCTTGGTGAGTGGAATTATATTTGTATTATCTTTCTGTATACTGTATGTATAATTTTCTTTAGATTTTCGGTCTAAAAGTGACCAAAAAGACATTTAGCTCCAGCTCACCATCGGTGTCGCCAAACTGCTCCGTCTCCAAAACCTGCGTACGCACGGCTCAAAGTTTGCTTAAAGGTGCGCACATTCTCCCGTCAAGTTTGTTTTTTATAGATCACAACCTTTGCGTGGAAACTGGCGTACGTACGTTTCCAGCCCCTGTTTTGTGCGTACGCATGCTTTATAAATGAGACCCCTGGTCTTCTTCATCCCCACCTATGAGGCAAGGTCGCTTTTCTTGTGAGATCCATCCTGCATCGCCTCCTCCTCACTAGTGTCTCGATCAATGGTCTGATGAAGAACATCATGCACATACGTGTGTGTGTGTGTGTGTGTGTGTGTGTCTGAATGTCAGATGGATGAATGGATATTAGATGCAGTTCAGGGTAGGATCAAGTTTCTCTCTGTGAAAAAGAAAAATAATTCTCAATATATGTGTTTTAACGTGTGTGTGTTTGGGTAGTGTGTGTATGCATGTATCCACACATGCACACGTCCAAGGGCTCGATGTTTGCAAGCACACATTCACATGTGTACATCAACATAATGAACATGCTCCTGAAAACTAAATGTTTCTCATATTTTCAGTCTCTCCCATTCAATTTGTAAAGATGCAGGTATGCAAACAAACTCTTTTATGTGATTGGATAACCATGGTACAACATTTTTGTTTCTATCCAATTAACATGTAGCAACTTGTAACTGAGTAGTTTCTACTGAAGGAAGTTACTTAATGCTGAATGGGCATTATTATGTAAACTTTTGTAGTCAGGGTTAGATCAGTGCTGTGAATATTTCTGCGTGATCTATTTTGCATAATCTTGACTTCCATATAAAGTCTGGGTGGACCACGGAGAAAAGTTGCTGTTCATTTAACTTTTTACATTAAAAGAGCGAGGAAAATCTAGTTTTGCATTAAAATCCATCAAATCACAATAGGAATCATTGAATAAATCAGATTGGATAATCTTGAATTCACTACTCTAGGAGCGTTGTATCCCGATGGCACCTCTGGTCATGATAAGAGGGATGATGCGGTGGCTCCGGGTCAGAACTGGACGTACACCTGGGAGGTCAGGCCAGAGTACGGCCCTACTGAAGCAGATGCCAGCTGTCTCACCTGGGTGTACCACTCGCATGGAGACGCACCTAAAGACATTGCATCAGGGCTTATCGGAGCTCTGCTCACCTGCAAGAAAGGTAAGGTTCACACAACCCCTGATAAACTGTTCATGCATGGAATACACTTCTCCCTCCCAATTCAATTCTCATTATATTTACTCTTTATATCTCATTTCATTCTTTTCCTTATGTTTTGTCTCCTCTTTTTATCTCAGGCACTCTGAGCTCCAGCAATAAGCGCTCTGATGTGGATGAAGATTTCATTTTGATGTTCAGTGTGGTGGATGAGAACTTAAGCTGGTACTTGGAGGAGAATGTTGAAAGATTTTGCTCTGAACCAGATGAAACAAAACAACTTATGAAAAATGTAGATGAGGATTTCAGAGAGTCCAACCTCATGCACTGTAAGTCTCAAGGTTGAACTTTAACTTTATCAATACATACCAATTTGTTCTATTGAGGAATGTTCTTTTTATCATAGAAACATTTCAAATTTAAATCAGCTTAAACAATTCGATTTTTGCGTTTGGTAGACAGTTTTAACTCAAATAGGCTTGCATTGTAGCCGTTAATCAGTTAAAAATAAGTGATTCATCCTTAAATCTTTACGTTTAAATCTTTAGTATTAAATTGTTACAGCTACCCTTGTCTGTTAGCGAGAGTATTAGATTATATTGAAGTAAGCACATACAATTCCATGATGTCATTTTTAGCTGAGACACATGACTGACATTTTTTTCCTGGAAAGTACCTTCCGTATCTGTTCCACATTTAGCTGGAAGTGAATCAATCACAACTAAATATAGCTGGAAATAACATTACTCAAAAATCGCTATAAAGCCAAAACAATCTCTGTTACCGTAAATTGTATGTTTATCTCTGTAAAGCTGCTTTGAAACAATCTCCATTGTTAAAAGCGCTATATAAATGAAGATGACTTGACTTGACTTGACTTGAGCACATACAATTCCATGATGGAATTTTTAGCTGATGGAATTTTTCCTGGAAAGCACCTTCCGTATCTGTTCCACTTTGGAACAGAAGCATTCAGCAAAGTTTACTTTTCTTTTGATATCCAAAGTTGGCTGCACTCTAAAATTCCAATGCAGTTGTTTGTGATTTTTGCAGTTGTTATTATTTTAGTGAACAATATGCAGAATTATTATTATTTTTATTTTTACTTGTGTAATCTCATATCCTTTTTTTCCTTCAATGTCCCTTTTTCAACTTTTTCTTGTATTTTCCCATTAGCAATCAATGGATATGTGTATGGCAATTTGCCTTCACTGAAAGTGTGTGTTGGGCGTCCTGTATCTTGGCATCTCTTTGGCATTGGCAATGAAGTGGACATTCATTCCGCTTATTTCCATGGACACACCCTCATGGATCGCATGCACCGCACAGATGTTCTTAGTCTGTTTCCTGCAACTTTTGTCACCGCAACAATGATCCCGAGAACACCTGGAAAATGGTTGTTAAGTTGCCAAGTCAACGATCATATAAAAGGTAAGTGTTCTACCTGTGTCTCTCTGTGGTAAGCCCATGTGTGTTCCTGCTCTTGGAAGCATTGTTTCTGTCTAATCAGTGTATGATCACTTTTGGTTTTGCTTTGATGGTTATGAGTGGTATAGTGTTCATTTTTGCCGCACCGTTTTTTTTTTTACTGACTCTTGTTTGATCTTTCTGGCAATTTCATGTTGTTGACACATTGTTTTAGTTACTTGAAGAAGATTTTGTCAGTGTCTGTTTATAATTGTGATTGCTACACTGTAAAAGAAAATGTATCATTGTGTTTGTGTCATAACAACAACTTTGAATCCAAGAATGTAACTTACACAATAATTGCCATTTTCATTAGTTTTCAGAGTTTCAACTCTCTTATCTTCATCATGATTAAATTCAAAGTGTTACAAAATGTTTGATGAACTTATCCCTGCAAGTTGGGTTAATCTCCCCCAAAAGTGTAAACATGGAGATCCTCCCAGGCACCATCTAAACATTCAGAGAGTCCGCTCAGATCCGTCAATCTCTTTCCAGCTCAACCAATAGTGAGAGTTTGGGGCGTGTCTAACTGTAGCAGGCGGAGCCAGAGGGTGTTTAGCTGGTGTGGGACAATGGCCTATGTGTAACATGGGAAAAGACATTCAGCTTCGGTTACAGGAGTGCAAGCCAAATTTCACTGCATTTAGACCTTCAAAGATTAGACAGGTCATGAACATGTCAAAGCGAACAATGCTCTACAACGGGCTGTTTCAATACAGCATCATCATGCACCCATTCAGAAAGACAAATATTCCAGTTTGTAATGTTTACTTTGACGTGACCAGTGTAGACCACCTTAAGTAGTTGCGCCCGGTGGAGTTATGTTGGAATTTAAATGACACATAGCAACACATGTTATGTGTCGGACCTTTTATTGAAAGTAATCTACTGTCGAGTCATGACTTTACAAGCAACCGGAAGAGCTGTGATTGTGATGTTTGAGTTGGAGGAGGTGCAACATGCAAAAGAGTCATTAGCAAAATATGATTTATTTTTGTGATTCCATTAGGTGCCATTAGCGTCGCAGAAACTACATACTTCACCTTTAAATGTTTAAGAAAGCAAGTGAAGTTTAATTTGCAAGATTTCTGAATCCCTCTCTTTTGTTTGGTCTCTTCTTGTGAGCAGCAGGTATGCAGGGCTTCTATGAGGTCTCGAGCTGTGGGTCAGCGACCTCTCCAGCACAAGCCCCTGGCACTGAGAGACATTTCTACATTGCTGCTGAAGAGATGGATTGGAACTACGCCCCTTCAGGAATGAACTACATGGAAAATGAAACGCTCACTACACGAGACAGGTAGAAACAGATTTGGAGACACTTAATGCATGATTGAGTAACACAAGACCCACTACAAAGGCTTGGCAATTATATATTAGAAAGATTACATCTACCAGGTAAAAACACAATTGGATGATGAATCTGACCATCTGAAATTAGATTCTAATCATTGCTGAGGGATTTTTAAGGGGTGAAGGTCAGACTCACGCTTTGGATAAACTTTTGCCACTATTAATTTGAACACAGACAATGTTGCAAACAGAAAGATTTAGGAGTAGATCACCATTTAAGACATAAAATTAAAGATGAATGAGAAAGGGAATAAGAAAACATCATGTATTTGTTTAGTGAGTGAGTTACTGTTACACAGGCCCTCAGAGTTCACCACTGAAATGAAGTTGATGTAATTTGGACCCATTCTAACAGATCCATTTGGTGTAATCTGTTCTACAGTACACTGGATTTTAAAGTTAAGATAAGTCTAATCTCGGTTTATTTGCTTTACCTTAATAGCTTTTAGTATGAATATGTTAGCCTTAAGGTTATGAATTAGCTGGTGTGTTCCAAACCAATGACAAAATTCACATTTAGGAGATATAAGCATTCAAAACCTACCGTCTCTCACTTCCGCTAAAATAGATAAATGATTTTAATAACATCACCGAGGACTTCAGCTTCTCATCACATCTTCTGTCCAATCAAATGCTCTCTAGAATCTAAAGCTCCGCCCCCATGCTATAAACACCACCTGTCCAAAGCGACCGTTGATGCGTTACAGAGAAATATGGGTTGGCCGTGTGTCCAAAGTGTGTTCGGCTGATCGAACGCTCGAGTTTTAGCCCTTTTTCCAACTGTATGTTGGTTAAGAATTAGAATATATATTCACACCTCTACTATTGAATCAAATGTATCATCAGCGCTCGAATTCGCTTCCGTGGTTCTTTCAAGTACGAATTGCAGTCTGTGAGGTAAACGCTATTGGCTATTTGAAAAGGGGGAGGGGCCATTCAATATGTCCCGCCTTAGCTTCCTGTTTCAGTGGAAATTACGTCGACGCATCAAACAAAGCTGCACTTCAGTGAGCCTTTAATATATCTAGATTGACCTTGTTTTTGAAGGGACACAAAGATTCAAAGATGTCATTAATGTAATCATCACAGATATAATTGTTCCTACCTGATATTAACTCCTATTTAAAGTTTAATTTTGCATTTATTTTTATGTAATATAAGTGTTAATGTTGTCATTGAATTAGCGTGTGAATGTCTTTCTTTTCCTGCAGTGACTCTGAGCCGTACTTCAGTCGTGATGGTGGTAAACTGGGTGGAACTTACCGCAAGGCCAGATACATTTCATACACTGATGAAACATTTACTACCAAAACACATATTGTGGGCTCAGATGAGCATCTTGGAATTCTGGGTAAAATCCTTACTTTTGTCTTATATGAACACTGATATCTTTGATCAGTGACATATCAGTGCATGAAATGAAAGTTACTTTGTGATGTTTTTGTGAGTGAGATGGCTAATTTTTAGCCATCTCTCTTAGCCTTAGCTAATTTTTAGCCATTTAGCAATCGTTAACCATAAGACCAGGTACTTCAATAAAGAAAATGTGGTAAATTTTGATTTCTTGCTGAGTTTATGAATAAGAGTATTAGTGAAATGCCGTAGAGCTGGTGCCATGCTACGATGCATGAGTGCTTTTCAGTTTCATGAAGCAGTTATATTAATATAGTTTAAACATTCTGTCGTGAAGATGGTAAGTGATCAGTTATCTCCACCCACCCCCACCCTAGGTCCTGTCATCAGAGCAGAGACTGGTGATGTTATCATTGTGACATTCCTCAATAAAGCTACGCGTAACTACAGCATTCAGCCGCATGGTTTGCATTATGAGAAGGCCTATGAAGGAGCAAAGTATCAAGATGGTAAGTCATAAACAGCTGTATATACACATACACAAGTCATATACACACAGATAATCATGTAGACCTTCAAGCTAGGGGTTCTCAACTGGGGTGCTAAGAGCAAAGAAGAGGGGCATTCATCCAAAAAAAAGGCCTTTGGTAAAATTCTTCCCATTGCTTTAGCCCTTTGTTGAGAATTTCCTTTTGAAACTGAACACAAAGAACAATAGTATAATACACACATTGCATAATATTTGGCTAAAATATTAAAAATACATAGCATAAATTAAGAAGGGGAATTGTTGTGTCTTCCACAGGTACTCAGAAAGTTGGAGCCTCTGTGGCTCCTGATCAACAGTTCATCTATCACTGGAGAGTAATTGAAGGTCCCTCTGACGATGATCCACCTTGTCTTTCATACTTGTACTATTCCGCTGTCGATGCTGTTCGGGACAGTAACTCTGGTTTATTTGGGCCCATTCAAGTGTGCAAAAAAGGTGTTCTTGATGGAAGTTTGCATCAGGTAACAAACTCTCATACTGTAGGCCAATACAGACAATATGGTACTTTCCACAAATATGGCACAAGATACTCTTGAAAAAGGAAGGACTTGTTCCTTTTTCAGCAAATGGTCAGTGAAAGGGGGTGATTTATTGTCAAACTCGAGACATCAAGATTAGATTTACACAAGCTGTTTTATTTTTGTGGGTAACAGGTTTGCAAATCTAGCCTAAATGAATCAGTCACTCAGGTTTTGGGATAAATGTTGGTTTGTTGTTATAATAAACCTATATTTCCATACATTAAAAGTAATATCTTTTTTAGATAATTTTTCTTACAGTATAGGTTTGATTGTTTGAAGAATGCCGTCAACATTGTAGTTTGTGCAAAAATTGAAAAGTCATATTTAATTGTGTTTTTAGCATAAGCAGAAAATCATAACAGGTTGTGCACGACACAGCTAATGTGGGATATTATGTTACATTGGTCATTTAGGTTTAATGGCTATGATACAGATATTGGATGTGTTTGAAACGATCTACTTTTCATACTAGAATAATTAGGTTAAATAACAATTGTATCTAATAGGTCTCACAACAAAAATAAGATTTGTGCCTGTAATGCTTTAGAAAAAATCATTGGACACCAAACAAGTGTACCTTGTTTGTGGAATGTGCCATACTGTATATGCAATGCATCTGTTGCTTTTCAGACTATACAGGTGAATATAATAACCTATATATTTTGTCTGTGTGTGTGTGTTTCCACGTTATGTAAGCGTGCTGACAAAATTCAGCACGAGTTTTTCCTGCTATTCTCTGTGATGGATGAGAATGAAAGTTGGTATCTGGAACAGAACATTAAAAAGTTTGGCAGTGGTGATTCAAATCCAAATAATGAAGAGTTTCAGGAGAGCAATAAGATGCATGGTATGCATATATGTGTTTGTGTGTGTTTAATCACACAATCATGTACTTTTACTTCCTCACTTTGGGAATATACAAGTTTATTTCCTGGCAGTATTATAATTAAGAATATTTGTGTTTCTTCTTAGCGGTAAATGGCTACATGTATGGAAACCTGCGTGGTCTGGATTTGTGTAACGGGGAACATGTTGTGTGGCACACACTTGGCTTGGGCACAGAGGTGGATATCCATGGGATCTATTTTCAGGGTAACACGTTTCAGCGTGATGGGATGAACCGTGACACTCTCAGCATTTTCCCGCATACCACAGTGACTGTTAGCATGACACCCGACAACAATGGTAAGTCACAGCGCTTTTTATATCAGGGATGTGTTGGTGGTGTGTCAATGCTTATCTATTATGCTCAAGCGATGTAGGTGTGATTGGCTTTGATACGGCGCTTGTAATGCTAATAATGATTTCGTTGTTGTGCCAGATCCTAAACCAGCGATTTCTGTTTCCCAGAATGTTCTGAAAAACATTATTTGTGTAGGTAATTTCCAGAACAGACACTGCAATGTTTTAGTTTGTTGGCAAGTTTTAGTTTAAGGTGCTTAGTTCATGATGATTTCAAACAAGAGAGAACAACTACAACAAAAAAAACAATAAAAGGCTTTTCAAAATGTTTGCAAGTATTTGCAACAAGGAAGACATGAAAACATAACTGGAGGACAGCATTACTGGAGGAAAAAGTGGAAATATATCAAATCTATACATATTTACTTGGTAAATTGATGGTAATGAAATTACAGACCTGCAATGTTGTAGTTACGTATGTTGCCAATTAGTAGATTAGGTCTTTGCGGACCGAAAAGTATTGTGTTGTGGTATTTTCTGGGCTGGGTGCAAATCCAACATCTGGCCTGGATACAGATTGGATCAGACTGTCTATTGGCTCGTTTCCACCGAGCGGTACGGGACGGTACAGTATGGTATGGTATGCAATTATTTACGTTTCGATTGTCAGAAGTTTTGAATGGTACCAAAATACCGAAACCGTACCATACCACACCACTTTTTCGGGACCCTTCCGTTGGGGTACCAAGCACAGTAGTCCGGTACCTAAAGGGTGGAGCTAAATGAATAAATGTAAATGTAAATGGAGCTAGACTCACTGAAGAACGTTGATTTGTTGACAGAGAATTGTGTGACAACACAAGAGGTAACATTTTTTAATATACAGTTTAAACACAATACCATTGCAACAAATGTTTTTTTTTCTTGTGACAAGCAGCCACATGCCGAGAAGCAAGATAAGATCTGCTGTATGTCCTCCATGGTTGTTTACTCTGTCGCTTTCTTCTTCGCATGAGAATGACATTGATCACAACTTTCTGGCATACACCACGCCTATCAAGGAAGGGTACTGTTGGCGGTGGAAATGCAAGCCGGATGAAGGTTTACCACCCCGAATCGTACTGTACTGTAGTGTACCACGCGATGGAAACGAGCCATTTGTTAACCTCGGGATAAGAGTGATACAGACAGAGACTAATATCAGCGTAGACACTGTTCATCTTTGGATGTAACAAAATACATCATGGTATAAGTGAAGTGGTTCCGGCTGACCTACTTAATGAAACTTGCTTAAAGGGTTAGTTCACCCAAAAATGAAAATGATGTCATTAATGACTCTCCCTCATGTCGTCCCAAGCCCGTAAGACCTCCGTTCATCTTCGGGACACAGTTTAAGATATTTTAGATTTAGTCCGAGAGCTTTCTGTCCCTCCATTGTAAATGTGTGTACGGTATACTGTCCTTGTCCAGAAAGGAAATAAAGACGTCATCAAAGTAGTCCATGTGACATCAGTGGGTTAGTTAGAGTGTTTTGAAGCATCGAAAATACATTTTGGTCCAAAAATAACAAAAACTACGACTTTATTCAGCATTGTATTGTCTTCCGGTTCTGTTGTGGATCTGCGTTCAGTGCCGCTGCTGACGTGTGTCTGGTGTGTGTGTGTGTGTATTCTGGTTCTGTTGTGGATCCGCGTTCAGTGCCGCCGCTGACGTAAGACGCTGCTGACGTGTGTCTGGTGTGTGTGTGTGTGTATTCTGGTTCTATTGTGGATCCGCGTTCAGTGACGCCGCTGACGTAAGACGCTGCTGACGTGTGTCTGGTGTGTGTGTGTGTGTGTATTCTGGTTCTGTTGTGGATCCGCGTTCAGTGCCGCCGCTGACGTAAGACGCTGCTGACGTGTGTCTGGTGTGTGTGTGTGTGTGTATTCGGGTTCTGTTGTGGATCCGCGTTCAGTGCCGCCACTGACGTAAGACGCTGCTGACGTGTGTCTGGTGTGTGTGTGTGTGTGTATTCTGGTTCTGTTGTGGATCCGCGTTCAGTGCCGCTGCTGACGTAAGACGCTGCTGACGTGTGTCTGGTGTGTGTGTGTGTGTGTATTCTGGTTCTGTTGTGGATCCGCGTTCAGTGCCGCTGCTGACGTAAGACGCTGCTGACGTGTGTCTGGTGCGTCCGTGTGTTCGGGTTCAAATAAATATGGCTGGGCAAAAAAATGCAAGTCTTCCTCTGTGTGGAAATCCTTAGACATGTTTGCAAAGATTGTTTTGTTTCCAGCGTGCGTCTCCCTCAGACTGTAAACGAAGCTCGGGCGCACCAGAGACACGTCAGCAGCGTCTTACGTCACACATACACACACACACACACACACACACACACACACACACACACACACACACACACACCAGACACACGTCAGCAGCGTCTTACGTCAGCAGCGCCACTGAACGCGGATCCACAACAGAACCAGAATACACACACACACACACACCAGACACACGTCAGCAGCGTCTTACGTCAGCGGCGGCACTGAACGCGGATCCACAACAGAACCAGAATACACACACACACACACACACACACACCAGACACACGTCAGCAGCGTCTTACGTCAGCGGCGGCACTGAACGCGGATCCACAACAGAACCCGAATACACACACACACACACACACACACACACCAGACACACATCAGCAGCGTCTTACGTCAGCGGCGGCACTGAACGCGGATCCACAACAGAACCAGAATACACACACACACACACACACACCAGACACACGTCAGCAGCGTCTTACGTCAGCGGCGGCACTGAACGCGGATCCACAACAGAACCAGAATACACACTCACACACACACACACCAGACACACGTCAGCAGAGTCTTACGTCAGCAGCGGCACTGAACGCGGATCCACAACAGAACCCGAATACACACACACACACACACACACCAGACACACGTCAGCAGCGTCTTACGTCAGCGGCGGCACTGAACGCGGATCCACAACAGAACCAGAATACACACACACACACACCAGACACACGTCAGCAGCGTCTTACGTCAGCGGCGGCACTGAACGCGGATCCACAACAGAACCAGAATACACACACACACACACACACACACACACACACACACACACACCAGACACACATCAGCAGCGTCTTACGTCAGCGGCGGCACTGAACGCGGATCCACAACAGAACCCGAATACACACACACACACACACACACCAGACACACGTCAGCAGCGTCTTACGTCAGCGGCGGCACTGAACGCGGATCCACAACAGAACCAGAATACACACACACACACACCAGACACACGTCAGCAGCGGCACTGAACGCAGATCCACAACAGAACCGGAAGACAATACAATGCTGAATAAAGTCGTAGTTTTTGTTATTTTTGGACCAAAATGTATTTTCGATGCTTCAAAACACTCTAACTAACCCACTGATGTCACATGGACTACTTTGATGATGTCTTTATTTCCTTTCTGGACAAGGACAGTATACCGTACACACATTTACAATGGAGGGACAGAAAGCTCTCGGACTAAATCTAAAATATCTTAAACTGTGTCCCGAAGATGAACGGAGGTCTTACGGGCTTGGGATGACATGAGGGAGAGTCATTAATGACATCATTTTCATTTTTGGGTGAACTAACCCTTTAAGGGATTTGAGTTGCAGAAATATGGTAGTGTGCTATGTGTATGCTTTGTTAAGCCTGGGGCACACCAAGCCAACTTAAAGGAACTTGCGACGAAGAAAACCGACAGTGTTGTCGCCTTGCGTTGTCTGTGTCTGGACCAAGAAGCTGCGCTTGAACACACAGCACAGACTACAGCCGACTGCAAACCTCCATGTACGTTCTGCGCCTGCTTATAAGGAATTAACTGTCTATCAGCAGGTATCAATAGTCTTTATTCGTCATTCAAAAGGAGAAACCGAAACAAGGATATACGAGATACACTATATTGCCAAAGTTTTGGGACATCTGCCATGAACTTTAATGACATCCCATTCTTAATCCGTAGGGTTTAATATGGAGTTGGCCCACCCTTTGCAGCTATAACAGCTTCAACTGTTCTGGGAAGGCTTTCCACAAGGTTTAGATGTGTTTATGGGAATTTTTGACAATTCTTCTAGAAGTGCATTTGTGAGGTCAGGCACTGATGTTGGACAAGTAGACCTGGCTTCCATTAGAGTCCATTAGAGTGAATTAGAGTCTCCACTCTAATTCATCCCAAAGGTGTTCTATCGGGTTGCAGTCAGCTTTGCTGGATGAACATTAAGATCTCCAAGTATTATAATGTTGGCACATTGTTGTAAGAAGAGCATGCAACTCTGAAATAAATACTGAGTTTGGTCTGGGGGGCCAGTAGATAAAAAGTATTGTCATGGGAAAACACAAAACACTAAACTCGCTCATCCATGCTTTTATGGACCTTGCTTTGTGCACTGGTGCGTATTCCCGTTGGAACAGGAATCCCCAAACTGTTCCCACAAAGTTGGGAGCATGAAATTGTCCAAAATGTCTTGGTGTGCTGAAGCATTAAGAGTTCCTTTCACTGGAACTAAGGGGCCAAACACAACCCCTGAAAAACAACCCCACATCATAATCCCTCCTCCACCAAACTTAACACTTGGCACAATGCAGTCAGGCAAGTACCGTTCTTCTGGCAACCGCCAAACCCAGACTCGTCCATCAGATTGCCAGACAGAGAAGCGTGATTAGTCACTCCAGAGAACACGTCTCCACTGCTCTAGAGTCCAGTGGCGGCATGCTTTACACCACTGCATCCCACGCTTTGCATTGCACTTAGTGATGTAAGGCATGGATGCAGCTGATCCATGAAGCTCTACGCACTGTTCTTGAGCTAATCTGAAGGCCACACGAAGTTTGGAGGTCTGTAGCTATTGACTCTGTGCACCTCAGCATGCACTGGCCCGTTCTCTGATTTTTACGTGGCCTACCATTTCGTGGCTGAGTTGCTGTTGTTCCCAATTGCTTCCACTTTGTTATAATACCACTAACAGTTGACCGTGGAATATTTAGTAGTGAGGAGATTTTACGAATGGACTTACTGCACAGTTGGCAACCTATCACGGTACCATGCTTGAATTCACTGAGCTCATGAGAGCGATCCATTCTTTCACAAAGGTTTGTAGAAGCGTCTGCATGCCTAGGTGCTTGATTTTATACAACTGTGGCCATGGAAGTGATTGGAACACCTGAATTCAATGATTTGGAGGGGTGTCCCAATACTTTTGGCAAAATAGTGTATAAGCAGATATATGAAATTTAAACAAAGCAGCGCTTGCTTACCATTTTGAATATCAGTTATGTTGATAACTTTCTTGATTTTAACTAAGTGGCTGATGTTGTTATGAAAATATTCATGTTTTGGAATGCTTGGGTAGGATAACATAGCTGACATCTGTCAGTTGTCCTTGCATCTTTAGCTGATGTCATTTGACATTAGTTTGTGCAAATCCACCAAGATCGAACCTAGCAAACCTTTCTCCACTGGTGCAGTCAGAGAGGGCCTGGCCGTAAAACTGGGTCCTGGAATGTGCGGCTAAATAAATCTAAAACTAAATAAATCATGCAACCTGATTTACTAAAGTTTGCGTAGTCAATTTACTTGTTTTTCCACCATTACGGTTCGACTTTCTGCTATAGTTGCTGCTTAGAGAAAGCAGTGAAGAGAACGCATGTGCTAGAAGGAGCTCATTTTCTCAACTCGTGTTCATTTATTTGGAATGCCAGATGAATACGTTATCCGAACATATGATTTGCCAAGCCATATTATTTTTAATTTGCAGCATCTGTGTTGTTTATAGATTATCTGCACCTGATTATCATCGGCTGCTTGTTTGCGACCCCACGCTAATTTGCTCTTGGTAGATTGCGTTAGTCATCATGGAAATGAGCTGCGTTGTCTTTGTCCTGTGTTTTTTATTTGCACATTGACAGTAGGTCATCAGCAGAACTTTCCACTCCCATCAGTGTGTTTATGGTCACGCTAGTTTGCCCTGTTTAGTTAATCTGTCCCTAGGAATCCTAACTGAAAGCTTTGTCTGCGGGACATATTTATACTTGGCAAATGGGCTACAGACAATGGATCCTGTATTGATGATCTCCCACACACCTGCAAATAGAAAGTAGTTTTTTATTATTCATTTGTCACTGTCTATACAACACAGCATATGTGCAACACAGAATTGTTAATACTGCTTCATATTGCTCCAGTTCATATTTCAAAAGCACCTATAATTAGGTGTGACTATAGGACATTGCTTACATTTTTAATATGAAATATGTATCCGTTGGAGAGATTTGATAACAGTTCCTGAACATAGATGCAGCACAGCATAAATAGCCTATCAAGGATGATTTAGTAATGTGACCCAATTATAATAATAATATTTTTTGTAAATTAATATGTTAAATATTAACTATTTGGATTGTAAATTACAGCAAAGTCTAAAATTATAATGATTGTTATTATTAATTGTTTTATTTTAAAATTATTTAATGAGATGTAGTTATATGTGAATTGTATAATGATGATTAAGTGTCTAAAGGGAAATGTTTTTGAGGCATCACATCAGAAAAAAATATTGTTTGCACCAATGTAATATCCAGACAAACTATATTAAACATACTGCATTATCCACTTTGAAGAACTGTTTAATCATGACTTATGATGTATTTGATCAGCTACATAATGCAAAAGGCATTTAGATCAGGCTTTACGAAGCGCTACCCCTCGGGGGGATGTAGGATTTGGCACGACAATGGTTTTTAAAAAATTAAGGAAGATTATCCCAGTTCTCTGCTAGTTGCTAGGTCTCGTAATGTCTGAAAAGCTTGTTGTTTTCTTAAATAATTAAAAGATATAAGCAAAATACATTCTTTTTGACAGTAAACATTTGCTCATAAGAATGCACTTTTACTCCAGGCCAGTTTGAGCTGAGCTGTCGTACAGCTGATCACTACAAGTCGGGCATGCGTCAGCATTACAGAGTCAAGCCCTGCGAAACCACTCCTGCACCAGAGCGCTTCACCTCCACAGTGCAGTACTATATAGCAGCAGAGGAAGTTTTCTGGAATTATGCACCAAACCGAACATGGGAACTAGAGAAGCACAACGCTACACTCGAGGATAGGTATACCCACAAACATATATGCATATTTGTTCTCACACATAAATTGAGCTCTAAAATGAAACATTAGGGTTAAGATTCTTCTCAATCAAGCCTCACTTGATAGTGTTAGTCAAGTCTCGTGCTCGAGACCCTCTATTTCTCACACAGTTTTACCTATTTACTGTTATTTACTGTTACCTATTTACTCATTCATGCACACATTATCTTTTCTGTCTTTCTTTTTTTTTTTCTCTCTCTCTCATTTTCTGTCCTGCCTTACTCAGCCCTGGAAGAATTTACCTAGAACAAACAGATGATCATATTGGTGCTGAATATAAGAAGGTGGTGTTTCGTGAATACACAGATGAGACATTTACCAACAAGAAGGCCATGCGTCCAGATGAGGAGCACTTGGGGATAATGGGTATGGCACATCTGACTTTGTAAACTCTTTTTTCTCTGACAACACTCCTTAAGATTTAGGAATAGATCTTACAATCCTGTGGCTCTCCTAAGTCGATTTTGAAACCTGTTTTTCAAAAGTTATCTCTGTGTGTGTGTGTGTATATATATTTATATACAGTATATTATGACATGCCGTTCAGGAAATCATTGTATTTATAAATGATGTTTAAATATAATATATTTGACCTTCATATTAGGTGGGTTACTTAGGATTGCTGTAATTTTGCTAGTTCCATTCTATTCAGAATAATAATATGGAATAAATCTCTGGATATATAGAATGGAACTAGGAAAGTTGCAGCAATCCTAAGTAATGATGAGCTACAGTAATGCATGCACTGGGAAAAATACTGGTAACTTTATTCAGTACAGTTCTACTAATGAAGAAATTCATTCACTATTTAATGCGGAAGACTGAATGCCGTGAACCTCACAGGCCTGGATGTTCCTGCTTATCAGGCAAACATAGATAGAGAAAGAAACATGCATCCCACCTCACAGGGAGCACCCACAGAAGCCCCTGTCTACAAGTGATGCAGAATGTGCTCTCCAAATACCATGCACTTATCATATATATCAGCTTCTACCCTAACAGATTCATAAAATTCCTTCGATGATGATGCATAATGTTTTCAACAACATTTTGAGGAACACGATTACTCATAATCATTATGAATGTTGCAATAATGAAAATATGATCCTCCGAATGACGGGATGTAGACTCCTGTGATGTTTGGAGTATGACCAGCTATTTTAAAAAAAAGTTCTCTAGTTCAACAAAGTATTGGAAAATTTCAGGGAATGACAAGTCACGAAATTCAGAAGTCATGCAATATCACTCTGATAACAAAGATATATCTAGCTATACATTATTCATTAAGTACTGTCAAATTTGCACTTTCATTCCATACATTCAGAGTTCCATTCCATACTGAAACTTCATATTATAAATACAATAATTTCCTGAACTGCATGCCATAATTTATATATATATATACTGTGTGTTTGTGTGTGTGTGTAGGAGGTGTAATTTGTAGCAATAAGCATCAGTGATGCATTCATAGATCAGTACTACATAAATAATTAGCATTGATATAGCAGGCCTCTTTGTTTTAGCTCTATACCTGTGTGGTTCAGTAGTGCCCCTTGTTGTGTTCGCAGGACCCATCCTTAGAGCTGAGGTTGGTGAGATGATTCAGGTTGTGTTTAAAAACAAAGCCAACAGGCCATATTCTGTTCATGCCCATGGAGTGAAGACCAGTGAACCCCATCAGAATGGTGTTTCTCAAGGTTTGTTTATAATACAAAAATTCAAATTTGTCAAACTTCAAATTTGTCTTATTATGTGTGCAGGAGAGAATAGTATATTTGTATGTGCATTATGTGTGTCATAGGTCATGTGGTGACATACAACTGGACCATTCCAGAACGATCAGGTCCGGGTCGCGCTGACTCAAACTGTATAACGTTTGCCTACTACTCTTCTGTCAGCTTTGTTGAGGTATAAAACTCATAAATAATATAATCTATACATTATCTATGTCCTTATCAATCAACATTATATTGTTAAAGCATTTATTAACATTTGTTGATGTGTGTTAATACAAATGGTAACACTTTACAATAAGGTTCATTTATTAAACATTAGTTAATGTATTAACTAACATGAACTAACCATGAGCAATACATTTGTTACTGTTTTTGTTCATCTTTGTTAACGTTAGTTAATACAATTCCAGCTGTTCATTGTTAGTTCATGTTAGTTCACAGTGCATTAACTAATGTTAACAAGATTTCAATAAAGTATTAGTAAATGTTGAAATTAACAAAGATTAACAAATGCTGAAGAAGTATTGTTCATTCTTAGTTAATGTTAACTAATGTAGTTAACTAATGAACCTTATTGTAAAGTGTTACCATGAAAATGTTGTTTATTTTAGTTCAGTGCATTAACTACTGTCAACAGATATTTATTTTGATCTTAAAACTGTTAGTTAGTGTTGAGATTAACATTAACAAAGATTAATAAATGCTGTAAAAGAATTGTTCATTGATTATGTAAAAAACGAATGTAGTAACAAACGAAACATTAATTGTTTTGTTTTAACGAAAATGTTGCATTTGTATGTGTACTGCATGTAAATAAATCAGATCTTACTTAGAAGTATGTTATGAAAGCAATAAGTAGAGATGATAATGTGAGGTTTTAGTATGATTGAAGATTTACAGATGTACTATGTGAATGTCCTTCAGGACTTGATGAGCGGTTTGGTGGGTCCACTGATAGTGTGCCGTAAAGGCACCCTGGACACTGAAAGACGGAGGAAAGACGTTAAAAAAGAGTTTGCCCTTCTTTTCATGGTGTTTGATGAAAATGAGTCCCACTACCTGGATGAAAACATAAAACTGTACACCAAGGGTGACGAACTAGACAAATATAGTGAGGAATTTATGGAGAGCAACAAAATGCATGGTAAGTGTGTGTGTGTGTGTGTGTGTGTGTGTGTGTGCGTGTGTGTGTGTGTGCGAGAGAGAGAGAGAGAGAGAGAGAGAGAGAGAGAGAGAGAGAGAGAGAGAGAGAGAGAGAGAGAGAGAGAGAGAGAGAGAGAGAGAGAGATTGGACCAATAGATAAAGTAGGGATAAGCTTCATCAAGAATGTCATTATCTTTCTGTATGCTGGAATATATGCATATGTTTGTGTGTAGGTGGGCTGTACATGTATAGGCATGCTAGTGAATATGTGTATGCGTGTGTGTACAAACGTATGTATAAATATGAATATATATATAATTAACAACTGCAGAAGGAACTATAATATCCTGTTAGATTTAAGGAAAACACGGAGGATCTTTGGATTTAATTTCTGTTAAGCTTATCTGTACTCTTTATATTTCTCCAATAAAAAGAATGTCATTATCTGTGTTGCAAGAGAGAAATACATGGTACAATCAGATTTGCCTTTTTTTTGAAGAACTTAAAACTCTTTATCTCTTCCACAGGTATTAATGGAAAGATGTATGCTAACCTCCATGGGTTAAATATGACAGAGAAAGACAAGACCGAGTGGTATTTGTTAGGACTGGGGAACGAAGTGGACATGCACACTGTGCATTTCCATGGGCAGAGCTTCATTTACAAGGTATATACATAAGCACAGCAGACTAGATATAGAAAATTACTTATGGAGTGACAGTGGGGTGGCATGAGGTGTATCGACACCAAAGTAAAGCAAGCGTTCTATTACTTTTAAATTGATGGCATGACAAAGACATTCATGTCCATAAGTATTTGAGCTGCATTTCCTCATAGACACCTCAAATCAATAATTTTACTGTTTAAAAATCATTAAAAATAAGCAATATTTCAATATCCAGGGCACTACGACCGTAGCAGCCTTCACACATTAAATCTGGTAAATTTGCATTTTCCAGTGAATTTACCACATTTACTTTTCACACAAGCAACAGTGTTCTGTCTTTTTACTGTTAAGATTCACACATCAGATCCGAAATACCTGTAGTGATGTCAAACACATAAACACTGCAGCATTTTTAATTCACCCTGATCTGAACATGTAAAATGAACTTCATATGAATAATAAATCCATTGAAATAATATATATGTGATTAATAAACATCATAATAACTGATTAAGATTAGTTTCTTACCTGACACTGATATTCTAGTTGCCATTCGGAGATGCTTCTATGATCAGATAATAAAAACAGAGCAGGCATTCGGAAAATTCCCACCACAACAAAATGTGCATGTACAAAGTAATAGAAAGATGTATTCTCTTACCGTTATTTTGCTGTTCATTGAATTTTTATCTCATTACATTGAAGCACAGCTGCTGAAAGCAGCGTTCACACTAGCACTTTTGGTGCGCACCAGGGTTCGATTGACGTCAGAGTTCGGTTTGTTCGGATGAACGTTGTCTTCTGAACTCGCACACCTGCGAACGGTATCCGAGTCCGCTAAAAAGTGTGGTCTGGGGTACGGTCATGTGAACTCCGGTACGGGGGAGGGGCGAGCAATCGAAATTGGGTTCGGACCAGGCAATCGAATCTGAATATATTCGAATCTGAAGTGTGAAAGCACTCTAAGAAACACTGTTTACATTTATGTTTTATTCATTGTGATACCACATGCTATAGCGTGGCTGTACTGCTCTCCTTGCGGCAGTGCCACGGACAGAACAGTGGCAGATGGTGTGTCCACACGAACACAGGTATTTTCCATTCGGTTTGGCCATTCGTCCACGCGCAAACGTAGTATCCGGTCACTGGACCGAACCTTTTTAAAAACTCCTGCCAGGGTGAAGATTTTCAGAAACTCTGGTTGCAGTGTGGTCGAGTAGCCGGTAACAACAGATATTTCGGCTTGTGATTTCGGAGTGCGCGCTGTTATCTTCTTTGTTTGACGTCAGATGTTGCGCCGCTATCTCCTTTGTTTACATGAGGCGAGTCTGTGCAATGGCGGACGTAGCCAAAATATTGCTGCTAATAACTGTGCTAACAGGGCTTATAACATGTATACAGATACATGCACAGTTCTCCCATCATATTGTGGAACAGAGGCGTCAGGTCACTGCTTATGACAACATGTTGTTAGCCTACCAGAACTGGTAACCTTTTTTCAGGCTTCTGATTGGCTAACGTGGTTTTACGGTCAGGGTTATATCGCCACCTGTTGGTTTGGTGTGTTCCACCATGTTCTTGACAGAGCTTTATAGCGTGTGTTTTTTTTTTGCGTTTTCATGTGGACAAGATTTTTTTTTTTTAGGAAAAGCTAATTTAATAAAAATACCTGTGTACGTGTGAACTAGGCCTTATTCTTAGCATTTCTAACCCCCACCATGCCACCCTAGTAGATCCACTTCTGAAACTCAATAATGTCTAAATCCCACTTAGGTGTTAAACTGTCCCTCAAACACTCTCGTTTTCTCTCCTTCAGACGGGTCATTCTCATCGTGCTGATGTATACGACCTATTCCCAGGAACATTTCAGACCATAGAACTGACTGCAGGGATTCCTGGACAGTGGCTGCTGCACTGTCATGTGACCGACCACATCCATGCGGGGATGGAGGCGCTTCTCACTATTCATTCTAAAGGTTAGGAGTAAAAGGACAAACACAATGCAAAAGTAAAGTTGGCATTTTCTGAAGTGGTGCTGGATTTTTATTCACGTTTTGTTCACAAATACTGCAAGAAATCCACAAATGCAGAAGTAAATCCAGGAATGCACAAAAAGAAAGCATGAAAATGTACACATAAGAAGCTTACATGGTTTTTAAAGCTTACAATATAATCCACAAATACACAAGCGACATTTGTAGTTTTTTTTTACATACATAGTGAGCTGATTACATTAGTATACTGTACCAAGAATATTTGTGAATGCTGTTCTGCATTTGTGGATCTTTTATAACTTTCGTAGTCTTTATAGACAGAGGGTCTCAGATGTTTGTGGATCTCCCGCATATTGATAAATGATGATGTAGATCAAGGTTTGTGCAGGTTTCGGTCATGGAAACTTTCAAAAATAATCTTTTTTTTTTTTTTTATATATTCCACATTTTGTCTGCCATTTTGTGTCGGGATTTATTCTTAGTTTGGTGACAGATTGTAATGGATCCACTGAGGAGAGTTTTATTTGCAATAATCCAAAGTGAACAACAACAAAAAACATTTTTAAAACACTCCTTTATGAAGCTTCGAAGCCTTTACGAGTCTTTTGTTCAGAATCAATGGTTCGGAGTGCGTATCAAACGTCAATATTTGTAGATGTTTTAATTAGACATTAGTATAATTAAAATTAATAATGGTAGTTAATAGTCTCTTATTGGCCTGTTTAGCTGAGCCATTCATAGAACTAACAAAACAAACCCTGACAATTGCACAACATATACTTGATAATCTTATTAGATGATTAGATAATTGCATTTGAAAAATTTTACTTACAAAAAAAAATTTGTAAAAGGGTTTTTTATGCATGTTCGGACCACTAGGGGTCACCGTGGAGACGATACAGCACATTTGCTTCAACCGTTTCAGTGTTTCACGAAGCCTCGGTCTGCCCACCACTAAGCATAACTTGACATTAGTGATGGCAGATGTGTGCACTAGATTTATTTCACTCGTCTTAAAGCCTCCTGTCCACTATCTAGCCGGGATCATTTAGATGCAGCCTTGGCACTTCACCAGGCGAGGTCGCTGTTACTGAAGCTTCGAGTAATGAACCCATTTTCAAAACAATTCTTCTAAGTGGTTCAGTGCTTCACCAAAGCTTCATTTGTCCATCACTACTTGACATGACATGACACACACCAACAGAGGTTTACAGAGAATGAACCAATGAGAACACATTAAACAAGAAAGCACATGACATGATCACAAGAGGACAAGGGAATCACATGACAAAGCACAAGGCAGGTCAACATAACTGTGCTTTCATGTTGTCTTATTGTGTGTGGTCACGCTGGTCATGAGTGTTCCTATTGAGTCATTCGGTGCGTTTCGACTCCAGCTGCGACCCATCAGCGAGAGTTGCCACTTGCAGACTTGAAGTCGAACACTTTCTGCTTCCCATAGTGACGCCCGAGTGGTGTTTGGCTACTTTATCAGAGATGAAGTGAAGTAAATGCAATATTTGTCAAATACACAGATGTTTCAGGGACGTTCTCACTCAATGCACTGCCTAATTCAGCAGCTTCTGTTTGTACACGAATAAAATTCATCACAAGTCTATACAATTTAAATAGACTTTTTGACCTCATGGCTCATGGTTTTGCACCGATATACATTTTCAGCTCTCATGTGTGTCCAATCCTTAACTACAGGATTCAGCTCAGCTCCATTTAAACACACCTGAACAAGCTCATTAAGGTCTTCAGGATTACTAGGGCTGCGTCCGAAATCACACACTCTCTTGAGTAGGTACATATTTTGAATAAGTAATTACTTCACGGCCACTAAAAAAGCATGTTCTATATAGTATGAATGTGAAGTATGAATGTAATCTGGACATACTACATTCACCATGGCATGCTGTCATGTTCACGTGACCCTACCAGCATCAGTTACGTCGCTTCACTGCCATTCACAAATCCTCTCCTGTGGCCTCATGGGATAGTAAAGTGTCCATCGTATGCACACTTCAGAATCTCACTGGAAGAATAGATCATCAGGGCACTTTTTTCCTACTCTTTTATGAGTACTGTCAATCTCGGACATACTTCTTTTGTCACATAGTGTTTTTCGCTTACTATATAGTAGGGAAGTATGTGATTTCGGATGCAGCCTAGAAAGTTCCAGTTAGGTGTGTTGGGGAAAGTTGTAGCTAACCTGCTAACCCTCCAGGATCTGGTTTGGACACTGGATCTGGATTTCACCTTTCCAAATCAGTCAATAGAATTTGCCAAAGTAGACTCTAGTCGAAGTGTACAAACATCTTAAAGATGATCCAGAGAATTGGGATACATCTGTGCTAGATTTATAAAGTGACTGTCAAAATTCAGCACAACACTAGAAAGCCTCTGTCTCACACTAAATGCATGAGAACTGGAAACTCTGCTTTCCCTCATGGTATCTTTCCTGTTTGCTTTAATTTTAGAAGGTGCTGATATCCCACCGTCACTTGGTTAAAAGCTGTCTCTCTTTCTATTTTTAGTTATATTATAAGTCTCCTTTATTGGCATGACAGATAGTTTGCATTTGTATTGCATGTAAATTGCATGGCCGTTGCTCTCCTGGGCATTAAAGAGCATGAGATCAGCAGTTTTGAGAAATCAAGATTTATTAACACACCATTTGAAACATGATACCCATAAACCCTTAAACGCAAGCATGTACTTTATTTTCTGAGGTGAATCTTTCTGTTGTAAGAATTATTTTGTAAGGAATTTATTATGCCTCATTTTTTTTGTGTAAACAACTGTTTACAGTGGATTAATTTTTAAACTGGATTCAGTGAGTGTAAATGGATTTATATGCATTAATATAGATTTTTATTTGTATCATTAGGGTCTCAGTCAACAAGGATCAGTGGTGACCAAAATCTGGACAGTGGTAAATAAACATTTGTATTCACTGTATTGTTTTTTTCTTCTTCTTAGAAAATCATGCAATGTTTAAATATGATAAATGGTATTAAAGAAAAGTTTTTTTTGTCTTTTTTTCTCTCCAGGCTTCGGCCATTTTGGAAGCCTTTACTCTGTGATGTTGTGTGCCCTTGGATCGGTCCTATTGACCTTGTTGTAACCCACTGATACAAAAGATAAAATTGACCATACACCCAACAACATGAATATTTATTGTTGCTCACTACTTAGTTACCTCATCCGGCTTTCTCACTGTATAGCTGTTAGGTAAACAGAAGCTTTTGGGGATAAAACAACTCTTAAGTTTATTCTTTCAATTTTGATTTATGATGCAAGTTATGGTAATTTAATGTGGTCATATTTAGTGTTAATAAAATCAAAGCTTAGAAGAGAATGTAACAAGGCCTCTTGTGTCTGCTAAAACAATACATATCAATCTATTGCAGCTTAATGATGTAAACTTTAAACTGCTAAATAAATCAATTATAGTTGACAAAATTCAAATCTACAAGATGAAAGACACTGAACCATGAGGTTTTATAAACACTGAATCAACTGTACTGTCGGTAGGATGTCAGAATGTGTTGTCAGATGCTGTAAGTCCCACACATGTTGAATGCACTGATAAAGGCCTTTGCATCTTCCACCATTGTTAGTGACTCAGTAAGAGTAAGACAATTAGTATGAGTGTGAATGTGAGTGTGAATGTGTATGAGTGTGAATGTGTAAGTGACTTACTGAGTAAATTGTTTGTTTTTTACAGTTCAAACTTATTTGTTCATTGTTTTTTTTTTTCCAAATAGTTCTGCGCTTGAATATCAAACTTTGTTATATATAATAAAGAAAATAAATGAAAATGAAGAGCTGAATTATTATTATTATGTGGTATCTTTAAGCATTTGACATTAGTTGGTTAGGCATTACAGATACCTGACATGGGTACAATTGGAACAAAAGTACTTGTATTTAATTTGAATTAAAAACCTTAATTTTCTGCGGGTGCTATGGCGATCAGTTGATGTATACAGTGAAACCTCTAGATGGCAGTAGTGCAAATACAAGACAATGGATGCTTCTGAATACTCAAATTTCATTTCAGTTGCAACAACATCCATTTTAAAATGCAATGGATTATCAAAATTAAAACAACACAAAGAACATAATTTTTCAGGTAATAATGTTGCCTAAATAATTTATTTAATTTGCATATCTTAAATGAGAAAAAAATATATAAATCCAGAAGTTTCGTAGACAAATGTGTAAATGTTTTAAATGTGTCGATTATTTATGTGTAATATAAATACAATTGTGTAAAAAGAAAAATTCTCAAAACACCGTTGGCAGATCTTCTCTTTGTCAAGTAGTTCAAATTGACATCATTTTACGCCAGATTACAAAACTATCATATCATTAGTTAGGCTGTGTGTTTAGCCCTTTATCCCTTCCAAAAATAATAATTAAGGTAAATGACTGTTGACTCAAAAAGATTAGAGATGTGTTATTAATCACATCATATACCATCTTTTCAGATAGGAAAAATTGTTGCTGTATTTCATACCACAGTAAAATTACTATAAAAATAACTATAGTATATTTAATCATACTTTAAAATGTTGTAGAGCATTTTACTGTTATTTATTACCATGCTGAAGTACAGTATTATTCTGGGTTTTTTTAATGCCATACAGTGTTATATTGTTATGGAAATGTTACAGTTGGCACAGCCCATTTTTGTGAATGATAAATGGTTAATTTTAATAAACTATATGGAGGAAAAAAACACACATACATCGCTCGGTATTCTGTTGGACCGAAACATCTTTTATTTGCATATATCCATTTATGGATAGCAGGCCACATACACGTGACATGAGCAGTACGAGGGCACACCTATTACAAACTTCAACACCCCCACTTGTTCTCGTACTGTGCAGTTTACCATTATAACAACATAACACATGAACAGTCTTGTATTTCTCTTGTGCTGCATTTACATGCCAAACATGAAACTCTTGAACTTTTCCAGTTTAAACTTTGTCACTGGTTTAGTCATAGTCTCAAACATAATTTCTTCAGTGGGGCAATACTTAATTGTCACTTTACCATCACTGAGTGCTGATCGAATGAAATGATACATCAACATGTTTACATCTTTGTCGACACAGAGCAATGGCACCTTGGTTATCTTCAAAGATTTGTACTGGCTCAAGCAGACAATCATTTTCCATCTGTTCAACAACTGTACAAGATACAAGATACATGCTTTCCTGTGTGGTTGCGGCCAGTGCCATATTACTCAGCTTATACATGTAGACAAACCAAGTGTGGACTGTTTCTTTGACTTGCAGGAAATCAGAGGACCATTTTGAGTAAGACTAAAACAGTATCCTGTCGTACTCCGCCTGTCATTTAGATCTGATGCCCAATCAGCATCACTGTATGCCACGAGTTTGAGTTTTTCTGCACTTTTCTTGTAACATAATTCATGATCAATTGTACCTTTTAAGTACCTCATCACATGTTTCACTGTAGACCAGTTTTGTTCATATGGATCAGACAGATATTGATATAGTTTACTGACAATCCAACTTAGATCAGGTCTAGTACATGTCATCAGATAGATCAAACTGCCTACTGCCTCACGACACATTTTACGATCAACAGGATCATCATCACTGTTGTAGTCAAGCTTTTGCTCACATGGTGTTGATCTGGGTTTACAGTCTGATGTGTTGAATATCTCTAGTACCTTTCAAATGTACCTTTTCAGACTCATTTTCATGAATCCTTCATTCTGATGGAAATCAATTCCTAGGAAATATTTGAGTTTTCCCAGATCGTTCATTCTGAATCTTGCTGTCAGCATCTTTTTCACGCAATTCAGTAAATCATTGTTACTAGCAGCAATTATCAGATCATCAACTCAGATTACTATAATCACTCTCTCTTTTTCAGTTTGTTTACTGTAAATCATTCTCACTGAGGTAGTCCAGTTCCAGTTTGTTCCAGTTTCTACCTGACTGTTTTAAAACCTGTTCAGTTTACAGACTAGTTTCTCACCTATGTTTGACTTCACTTCAAATCATTCTGGCTGTTCCATGTAAATCTCACAGTCAATTGGAGCATGCAAATAGGCAGTTTTTACATCCATCTGGCGGAGGTCAAGGTCATATTTTGCATTAAGGCACGCACTGAAGTGATATTTGCACTGGAGTGGCTTCTGCTGGAGCATTTCATTGAGGAGGAGGGTGCCAGCTCACTCCTGAAGCCCCCTTTCCACTGCAGACGACATACACGGCAACCTGGGAGAGAAGTTGATTCGTGCAGTCTCCGAATACCCCATTCTGTATGATATAACTCCTGAATCATACAGAGACGTCAGCAGGAAAAATTAAGCTTGGTAGCGAGATTGTCGGTGTGCCAGGTGTGTTTTGATTGCCAAATGTGCAGAATGAATGCAAATCTTTGTCCCGCCTAAATTAGCATCTAGCCTAGTATTTCAATGCAGTTGTATTATTTCGCATTAGACAGTGGTTAAAATAACAATAATAACAATGAACAATGCTCTCAGTTTTTAACATTTTGTTTAATTTCAAGTTATGCTCATATGCTACTGTGATATGAACTAGCAGTATGAAATTAGTATGAAATTATAAAAATAATATTTATATATGTGTGTTTTATTGCTATTGTAGTGCTTGTCTCTGTGTATTCTCTGTCTTTCCTTGTTGCTCCTCCCACTATCCACTTCACAGGTTTGGGAGTGCGACCTGATTTGTGTTCCAGCTCGTTAAGGTGTGAGTGGAGCAAAGTATTTAAGAACCCAGAGAGTTCCAACCCAACAGAGACTGAGGCTTTCCTCTGATACCCCTTTTCCACCAAGGCAGAGCTGGTGCTGGTTCGGAGCCAGAGCCTAGTTTCAATTCGGTTCTTTGTTTTTCCACACGCAAAGCACCAGCTCCGAACCAGGAAAAGTGGTTCTTAAGTAGCACCAAATCATTGCTGGTCTAGAACAGAGCCAAGTAAGAACCGCTTGCGTCAGGGGCTGGGGGCGGGGTTACCGTGACCAACAAGACGAATAGAAACTTGTGACCGCCATTTTTAAATAGCAGCTAGTCGAGCTAATATTAGCTTGATTATAATATCCGTCTATGTAAGTTACGGCGAGCTGCACAAACGCGTTGGATTCCGATGTATTTTTGCAAACCCATGAGCATCCATAGTAACGCAACGTCCGTTATTGTTGATGGCTTGTTCGAGATGCATCGGAGCGGCGCGGTCCGATCGGAGCTGCGGGAGTGTTTGGAGATCATACGACTCCTTGTGCTTTTGGATCGCTTTCGTAGTGCTTTGATGTCCTGCGGCGATCGATCTGCGAGAAGCCGATGCATCTCGAACAAGCCTGGCGTGTTTGTGTTTGGCGCTACCGCACTAGCGTTGCTGGGCAACATGAGACGTATGCAGTGACGTAAGATCTGGCTCTGTTGTGGCTCTCTAGCCGGTGGAAAGGCAAACCGGTTCTTAGTAAGCTTGTCAGTCGAACCAACTCCGAACCAGCTCTGGCTCTGGCTCTGGCTCTAAACCAGCACCCGGTTCTTGTTGGTGGAAAAGGGGTATGAGAGACTGTCTGTATCGGGGTTCATTGTTATTGGAAGAAGGAGGCAGGAACTGGCGAACATTTAACAATTTAATAATAAAATAAACAAATACAAAATGAAAGTATAAGCCAGCAGCCCCTCAAGGACGACTGCTGGCCACATAAAACAGTAACAAAACACAACATAAAATCAGGCCTGTTCCTCTCTCCATCTTCACTGTTGCGCTCCTCCCTTATGCTTCCGCTCCTCCACGAGAGATGCGAGACCGGTGCGTCTCACAGGTGTCATTCATTATCACTCACGCCACCGGCCTCGCGCCGTTCTTTCACATCCTTCGGCCTCGTCCTGCTCGCCACATACTCCCATCGCCCATCGCCCTAGGGTACACCTAGATTTGTGAGGTTACTGAGGTTTGTCCAAAAAGTCGCTAGATTTGTCGCTAGTTGCTTCTTTTAATATAAATGTCGCTAGGGGTCTGAAAAGTCGCTAAAAATAGAGACAAAGGCGCTAAGTTGGCAACACTGACCTTGCTCTTCAAGATGACATCATCAGGTATTATCTGGACTATCAAGACAAGGTCCGCAAGGGTCATCTCTGCAAGACAGCAGTGTTCTGGCTGCCTGCCACGGACCACAGGACGCTGAGGAGAGATATGGGATGAGCTATATTTTGCATAGATGAAAAAACATTACTTTCCTTGTAAAG